GAATTGTCTCTCTTACATCTAGGGCTCAATTTCTACCTTTTGCTTTTATGCTCAGCCTTACAACACTAAGCAAATTATACACACATGCTCCTTCTTCCCCAGACACACAAAAGTTATTTCATCTTAACATCTTGAATTTTTATCTTAATGTTTATCTGAATTTAATGTGTGCATATGTGTTATTAATTTTACATATAATTATATACACTACATATTCAGTATTATTTTATCTTTTTGCTGCATTTAAATGTGAACTTCTAAAGCAACCATTTATGTGCAGCTTAAAATTCTAACAATCAGACATAGGTTTTATATTCTCTAAGTACTTATCAACTTAATAAAATCCAGTTGATATCTCTATCTCCATTTCACCTTACCTATTATTTATTTTACTGTTTACTTTATGTAAATTTTTGGTTTCTCACACAATATTTAGGCTATGTAATATTTAAGCTTGTATGTCTGTCTTGTTTCACTTGACAAGGATCATTTGCAAAAGAAGAAAGTCCTAAGAGATGGGGAGAGGAGGAAGAGAAGAGAAGAGAAGAGAAGAGAAGAGAAGAGAAGAGAAGAGAAGAGAAGAGAAGAGAGGAGGATGAGGATTAAGATGTGTTACATATACTCATTAACTCCTCAAACTGAATTTAATCACTATGTACTGAGTATATCTACCAATACATTGTACCAATACATTGAATGCCCCATTTCTCTCATCAGTTTCATCTGTATTTTAGACGAGAGATGTAAGATTTTACTTAGGAGAGAAATTCTGTGACTGCTGACTGTTCTGGATATGTAGAACCAGGGAATGACCCTGACTGGGGTGTGGCCTTCACCTCCATAGATCTCTTAGTCACTGTTTCCACTTATTGGAACAGAAACTGAGTCCTTCTAGTATTCTTTCAAGAAACTCACAGTTTCTATCTCTGGGTCAATTATTCTCATTCCTATTTTCTTCATTCTTTATAGTTTCTCATCAGTGTTATAATCCATCTTCAGAATCTCCCCTTGGCCATACTCACACCTTCTAGGAGGAGAGTCTATCCCCGTTATTATATTATAATGAGGTCTTGTGAATAAATATGTACCCAATCAGACATCTTGCCTTAAAATTTAAACTATATCACACTGTTTCTCATATTTCAGGATAAAGGAAACTTAGTGCCAAAAAAAAAAAAAAAAAACAAGAAAAGTAGCCTTGAAGTATAATCCTGATGATATAGAAGAAATGACCTATCAAAGCAGAAACAAAAAATATGCTTGGAAAAATATAAGAAGGATCAAAATTTTACACAATCACAGAATCTCTGGAAAGAGCATGTTTGTAAGGCATTGATTATAACACCAAAATTTAGGTGTAATCTAAAAGAAAGAAAGCTAATAATACTCAGTATGACTCAATGATTAGAGAGTTTATTTCTCAAAATTAAACTAGAAATTTCAGCAGACATGGAGAGACTAAGGGTAAAAGTTATATATCACAGACAACTTCTGTAGTGAAAGCAAAAGGATGGAGTGAAAGGAATGAAATACTCCTTAGGCTCAGTTTCTTAGAACTTTGACAAGCTAAAGAGGCAGAGTGTGCACATGTAATAAAATTAGAAATTCAAAATTCAAAATAAGTGTATTATACATTAAGTTTTGGAGAAGATGTCAGTATTTTCCTTTTTATCTAGGGGTTCTATTAAGGTTTTCTTGATATCAAAATTGTTTTAGTAAATTGTTTCCAAAATATTGAGTAATAAAACAAATGAAATAATATTTAAAACTGCATGTCTTTTAGCAGCCAACACTTTCTTGATATTTAACTAGAACGGAAGACCTTTGTAAGGGAAAAAAGAGAAAATACCTGAGAATAAATACATTATATAACACGTCTGCAGTGAAAAATCAAATTTAGGTTTATTTATTTGTTTGTTTATTGGTATTTTTGAGACAGGATATAACTATGAAAATCAGACTTATTTTTACTTATTTTGTAGCCTACACTGGATCAAATGTGGCAATCTTCCTGTGTCAGGCTCCCCAGTCCTAGAATCACATGTGTACACCACCATGCAGGTCCTTATTTGATTCATTTTAAAATCATTTCTTTTGAGAAGACAAATTTTGTCTAACAAAATCTAAATAAAATCTTCATATAATGCTTTTTAAAAATAGAGCTTTTAGTGCATATCATAGCTAATATATGTATTTTTTTCTGGACTAAGTATTGCCTAATCAATTGTCTCTTTCAGTATACATTCACAGTGATATGATGGGTAGCCCTTCAAAAGAGCATAGTTAGTTAACTTAAAATATTGAATATGAAGAATGTTAGTTATCTTTCTCTTGTTCCTGGAACAAAATATCCAACCCTCAAAATGAATAAAGAGAGGTTTATTTAGCTCACTGTTTGTGGAGGCTTCAGGCCATAACCAGCTGACTCCAAGGTAGGGTGGCATGGCACCATGGCAACACTTCAAGGCAGTAGCCAGAAAAGGCAACCAGAGCAAAAACTATGTGTGGGGCAAAGACAAAGTATCTTTTCTTCCTTTATATTGTATAGAGGTCACTCTGAGTGTAGCACTCATAAAATCTTCTTGCCCTCCTCTTGCACAGGATAAAGATGATTACAAAATAAGAACCTTGGCTTCCTGCTGAGTTTCTTTATTAAACTTCTAAACTCTTCAAGTTGACACAATATATCAACCATAAAAATCCATCCATTGTCAACTTGGCAACTAGACACATTACTTTAAACCAATTTCCAGATATAAAGACAATCTTAATCCTACCATTTCACAACTTGAACATTATAACACAAGTTTAACAATGCTTAAGATCTAGTGCTATCAACTTTATATTACATTAGAATCATAACATTCTTTCCTTGCACCCTCCAAAAGGTTCATGCTCATTTCTTTCACAAAAGGCATTTATTCAATCTGTAAGGGTTGCCAAAATCCTAATGGTTTCAGCATTTGGAAAAAGTTCAAGTCCTCATTCTCCTCAGAGATGTAAGGCAAACTCTTACCTGCAAACACTTGTACAAATGGAAGCAAAGTTAAACACTTCCAACATTCAATGACACAAGATAAACTTTTCTCATTCCAAAACTTACAAATGGGAATACAAAGGATTGAGATCAAAGCAAGTCCAAAATTCAGCAGGGCAAAGATTATGTCCTGTAGTTCCATGTGCACCATTTGAGGCAATTTATGTCAAGCTGTGAGCTCCAAATGGTTTGGGTGACTTCACTAGTATACATGTCTGGTGGTTGTAGCTCCCACTTTTCTCATAGGCTCACTTTGCTATTGACTTGCAGCTGTCCTTATATGATCCATGCTTTTTTTTAAAACTTCTAGGGTTTCCACAGCAACTTTGGCTTCACCTTTACAGCTACATACACTCAAGGGAACACTGGATGGCCTTTCAGGCCTTCTGAAATTGTGGTGGAAGCTTTTTAAACCTCAGAACCCTTGCATTTGGTATGCATGTAAAATTGATGTCATGTGGATGATGCTGAAGGCAGTAGCCAGAATTTTATCTGTTTTGACTGTGTGGGTCAAATGCATGGATTTCTGGGTATACTGACTCCAATTCTGAGGAACAAATTTTCCATGTGGCCACCATTCTGGAACACAGTACGACCACTGCCCTTCTGGAATGTGGTTCTCTGTGGCTTTCACCTCAAAGCAAATTTTTCACTTTTGCAAGTTTGAGGCTTAGATTTTTTATGTGATGTCTTCTGGCCATCTCTTCTGCTCCCTGATTCTTAACAACCAATAATTTTCTTAGCTCTATCTTTGCAGCCCACAGCTTTATTGGAACTTCCTTTCTGGCCAAACTCACTCTGTTTTAAACCATCCTGTTGGGTTATTTGCTCTTGATTTACAACATAAATCTGGCTAAAAGCCCCCAAACAGCTTCAACATTTTACTGCCATGAAATTTCTTCTGCCAGATTACTTAGTCCACTGCCCTTAATTTTAGTCTTAGATAAAGTCTCTGTACATGAGAATAATGCACATAAACGGTTTGCAAAGTCGTAACAACATCATCTGGAAGCCCTCCCAATACAGCCCATTTTCCCAGCAGAAAACTCCTGAAACTGGTCTTTACCAGTAGGTTTTCTATCAGCCTTCTGGTCTCCTGTGTTCCCACCAGAATGTCCCATACAGGAAAGCCTAAAGTGTTCCAGCTTTATGCCTTCAGGTAAGATCTCCAAATCCTTCCAAACTCTTCCCACAAGCCATACCCAAAGGTATTTGAACCACAGACAGGTTTAGTCACAGCAACAAACCCACTTCTTTGATACTAAATTTAGTCTTAGTTACTTTTTTTCCTGTTGCTGGGACAAATATCTGACACCCAAAATGAAGGAAAGAAAGATTTACTTAGCTCACCATTTGTGGTGGTTTCAGTATAATCATCTTGCCATAAGAGCAGCATTTAAGGTAGCAGCCAGAAAAAGTATGTGAACAAAAATGGAAGAAGAGCAAGCTTCCATTCCCCTTTTGCATTGTGCACAGGTGTAGTCAGGGGTTGTGAGGAGGATTAATTATAATTACAGGGCACAGAATTTATAATATTTTTTTATGATTATCACCCAAAGCTAACACAAGAAAGTGCAGGAAATATTTCCACAACACTAACCACCCAGAATATTCAGCCAAGGGCCTGGATCCCACAGCAATGTCCTACATGAGTCCGGATGAAAAACTAAAGTCCATAAAAATGCCTCCCACAAGTTCAACTGGAGGTCTAGAGCCCACAAGAAGGACTCATGCCAGTGTCTTTTATGGATCTGCACTGGGAAGGTCCAATGGTCAGTGACAGAACTAGAAAGTCTATGCCAGCGAGGTGAAGGCGCTGTGCTTATAGGTTGAGGGTTCCACACTGGAGCCCAGAAATCATGCTCAAAACAAGGACCAGGGCTGCACTGGAAAGCACCACAGCCATCCTCAGCAACATGGAGGTCTTGAGCTCCTCCAATGATAAGAACAGCAGAGTACATACCAGAAAGCCAGCATGAAAAGTTTCTCCATCTTCCCTTCCAGAGCCAGGAAGTGATGCTCCATGTATGGACCAGCCTCCCCAAACTGAACCACAGCTTCTCTCACCAACAAGATCCTGAGCTCCTCCGATGACAATGGTTGAACTCAGACTGGAGAAGCCAGTCATGTCGAGCTCCTACAGTAAAACCAACAGCTCAAAACAGCAACACTGAGAGAAACTCATAAAGCCTCAGTCTGCTTCTCCACATCTCTATTTCTGCTGGCAACTTTCCTCAGGTGAAACATCTACATTCAGCACCATGCTGATTTAATTCAGCTGGTGTTAAGTTGACCATAAGTTTTTAATCCATAACAACAGGGCATCTCCCTCTAGGGCTGGAGTAACACTCACAAAATCTCCTTGCCTTCCTCTTTCCTAAGCTGAGAATGATTACAAAGTAAGAACCTGGGCTCCATGCTGAGTTTGTTAGTCAAACTTCTAAACTTCTCAATTTGACACATTGTATAACATGTAGAAAATTGTCTGATAGCTGAATAATGAATTATTTTAATATAATTATTTTACTTCACTTAAATATATTCTAGTACATTAAAGTAGTTCATTTATCTTGTGTATATTTCAGAATATTAAAATTAATGCTTTCTAGATTTTAAATAAAATTTTATATTAAAATAGTTTATCTCATAGTCTAAGATAACAAATTCCAAATCGTTAGTCACTTCAAATTTTTTTATTCAACTTTTCTGTCTAAATACATAGAAAAGCAATGCTTTTTGTGCATTTTTCAAATATCATTTAACTTTAGCTTCATTAAGTGCAATAGAGCTCAAACACACAAACATTAATTCTATTGTATTGTACTATTATGAGAGAACTGTGTCTGTTTGTTATAGATTTGAAGACATGGAAAGATTCCATAAAAACAATATAGTAAATGTAGAAATATAATTTTAGAGTTTTAGAAAATTTACTTTAAAGTAATACACAAATGCATTTTTATTTAAAATGTTTCTATTGAATATAAAAACTTTGACAAAGCCAGGAGTTGTGGCATACACCTGTAATACCAGTACTTGACAGGCTAAGGCAGGATGACCATTGTGAGTTTGAGACTAGTCTGGGCTAAAAAGTGAGCTCAAGGCCAGCCTGAACTACATAGTGAGACCCTCTTTTATGCCTATTATGTGTACAATACACTCATATATATATATATATATATATATATATATATATACACACACACACACACACACACACATTTATGAATCACCATTCTCTCCCTAATCAGCATGCAGACTTCCTAGAAGTGAAAGCGTTTATCACTGTAACATGCATATTTGTGTTCTCAAAAACATTTACATGTTGGAAATGGAGGAATCACAAAAAACCTGATATTTTGACATAAACAGTACGGGAGCATAGAGAATCAATAGTTTTGTTTTGAGATCATAAATTTAAAACACTAGTTAAACATCCATTTTAAATTTTCAATACTGTACTTGGGTACGTATTTCATGATCTCAACACAAAAATGTGAATAAATGATATAAATATTTATGTCATCAGCATTTGAATGGCATTCAAAGATTAGTCAGAGAAGTGTGTATAGAGATAAGTAGGGGATATATGCCACAGATCCAGCAAGCTCCAATTTTAACAGACCATGCAATGAGGTAGAACCCTTCAAAAGAGACTGTAAAGAACAGGACACTCAGAAAATAGGTCAATATGAAGGTGATACCATTACAGAAAGCAAGAGGACAAAGTGTTTTGAGAGAAAACTTTAGCTGTTTTGGGAAGGCTTTGATAAACTTACAGTAATAGAGATCAAGAACTGGAGATTTTTCAGCAGCATAACAGTCATTTAGTGTCTTGAGCATATTATTTAGTCTCCTTTTCCCTCATTATTGAATGACAATAATAACAGTTTTGTTGTTAGTACAATATGTTGCTGAGATCTTATGTACTTCACTTGGAAAATTGTTGAAAAATGGAAGGGTAAACATGTATAACTCACTACATGCTAATGAAGAATGTGAAAGGGTAAAATATAAATATGGTGATAAACATCTCTGCCTAAAGCAAGAATCATTCATTAAAATAAATTAATGCATATTATGAAATACACCCAGTTTAGTATTCTGTTACCATGTTGGGTTTCATCATTAAGTCTCAATATCATAAGAGGTATGACTCTTCCTGGAAAACAAAAGACAGACAATGAAATATGAGGAGATTCACTAGGTGTCTTCCTAGTACCAAAAACTGTGTATTATTCAACAGTATATGGAAAATGTAGATTTGAGTTTTTGAAGATCTGAGTAAGGACAAACTATGGTATTAAAATATTCAAGGCTGAAAATCCATTTTCCAGTGTATGTCACACCATAGAGTGCATTGAGGCATGTTGTTTAGTAAAGACTCTCAGAAAAATAAAATTAAATTGCAGCAGTGAGGTACTTCAAATACATAAATAATTTCAGGTAACAAAAATGCTTACAATGTAGACTATAACAAATTCAAAATACAGTCTCCTAAATTAATTCTAGAATGAAATCAAAGTTCAAGAAATAAATTACATTTAACTTAAAATCCAAGAACTTTAAAATGGATGAAAAAAAGTCTAAATATGTGATCTTTTCTTTTCAAGTTCAAAAAATTCAAAATACAGAATTTTTTATTCCAACTCTTGTAGCTTATTTTTAGGGAAACTAATTTGGGATACTTAACACAAATTATCATTAATAGGATGAACATGGTTTCTTCAGGGTTTAATAAATTGTGCTAATTCAATAAGAACATCAGCAAGTAAGTTACAACCCAAATAACATTAAGTCCAAGAAATATAGCTTGATGTTATAAACTTTTAAAATTTCCAGTTTAGGGAAAAATTTCTGGCAAAAATTGGTTTAAAAAATACCCCCATAGTTTAATTGTAGGTATTAAGTTTTCAATGTAGAAGTTGTACCATAGAAAGTAATTAATATATAAGTCTCCAAATGAAATAGTAGCAGGCAACTTAATTTATATTTTGACAAAAGTATGAAATGTACAGAATTTAAAGAATGACCTTCTGACACACTGAAGCTAAACTGAATGAAGGGAACTCAGTTGCCCTTCCCTTGTCCCTGAAGGATCTCAGCAGCTGACAGGCCTATTAGCTGCCATTTTCTCCATCCAAAAGACCTCAATAGCCCACGCACCATCAGGGACTCCTTCCATTGCCTGTAGTAAATTGCTGGACTGGTATAAGCCTCAGCAACCACTTCCTCTATACTGATGAGAGCTTCTGACAGTGTGGTGAGTTTCCTCCTCATGTAGAGGACCTCAGTGGGTCAACAGGAGCCTCAGCAAATCCTGCTTCACAATTCTAGGACCTTGGGGAGCCAGCAAAAGTCTAGGTGAATCTCTTTTTTATACAGAGAACCCCATTTGATGAAAGTGTTGATGAAGCCTTCCCCACCTAGGGGAATTTGAAGGGCCTAAGAGACTCCTACTGATATTGTAGGGTCCTGGCTAAAAATAGCTATATCTGGTGGCCTAGAACATCCTGAAGCCACAGTACCAATAGGGAAAGGGTTGGTTTACTTCAATAGTCCTAGGTTAGCCAATCAAGGAAGAATATAGGACTCACTCAACTAGCCCTGCAGGAGGAATTGTGGTGATTGGCCCATACCCTACACTCTAGGACCCAGCAATTGGGTGAACCTAAGCCACACATAGGACCATAAGGCACACACAATGGGAAGCTGATACTATCAGGATGTAAAAGACCACAATATTAACTCAAGGCATAAAATTAACACACACAAAAAAAAAAAGAGAAATGCAATCATAAACACCCAGTTCATCAGTAACAAGTACAGGAAACATCAAAAGAGAGGCTATTGGAAGTCACACACCTGAAATTTCTGAAAAGATAGCAAGTGAAATAAAGCAACAAATCCATGAGGCTATGAAAGAAGTCAGATAAGAAATAATCTCTCAGGGAAAGAAAGAAATGACAGCACAAGCCACTCAGTCTTCAGGGAGAAAAAAATTAGTGCTTCCCAAGAATTGGACATGCTGGGATTTGGAGGACTTAATAGTAAATCAAAAGCTAGCCTTTTTGTTAAGCAACCCAAGCCACATAGTTTCCAGGAGAGAAAAGCTGTTGCCTACCAAGAATTGGCCATGCTAAAGAACCTACCAAGAAATCAACTAGCCAGCATTTCTTGTAAGCCACACAAGCTGTGTGGGTTCCAAGAAGAGAAAAGTTAGACAGCACCTCCCATAAGCCTACCAGTGCACAGGCTGAGAATCAAACACAGTAAGTCCTCAAACCCCATAAGAAACTGGTTCGTTTGGAAGACAAGCTGAGTTGATAGAAACTAAATACTTGTATTGTTTGGTCAATTTTTGAGGCATGGGGCCAGCAATCTGAGATCTCTTGGGACGATGCCAGAATGCAGTATAGCAAATATGCAGGATTTTCCTCTATCTTGTCTTTGAAGTCCAATATTATTTTCACCATTTTGTTTTGTTCTAATTAATTGCTTTGCTTTATTCAATATTCAATTTTGATTGGTTTTATTCTGTTTTGATTTTGGTTTGTTTTTGATATACCTGATGGACTAAACAACTATTGTGAAGATAACAAGATATACAATGATATCTATTGCTATTTTCCTAGTATCCTGCTTTGAAGTTCTGTATGAATTTTGATACATTGTTTTGATTGGCTTTATTCTATTTTTTTGGATTTTACTATTTTTGAAATAAAAAAGAAAGAAATGGCAACAATAACGAAGGAGTTATTCAGCATAGCTAGAGAAGACATAGATTAAAAAAAAGTACAGGAGCATGTGAAAGTGATGGAAAATATGAATGGAAAATATAGGAAAAAATAGAATGCATGAAAAAAATTAAATAAGATATACAAGAAATTAAAAATTCCTCTGAAAGCTGAAAAGTACTTGTATGAAACTGAAGATAGACTTTAAGACCTTGAACACAGGATTGCAGCCAGTGATCAAAGAAGGAAAGAACCTTTAAAAATAAGGGATCATGAAATGATAATTCAATAGCTTCACACTGATGCAAAGAAAAACAAAATAAGATGACAGGTATCAATGAAAATGACATAAAAACTATTCTCAGAAGAAATAGCAGAAAATTTCCTAAAAGTAGGAAAAAAACTGGTATACATATAAGTGAGGCATATAGAACACCATATAGTCA